ATCCCTTGATTCGGCCAGACCTATTATTATATTATTGACTTATTGAAAAAGACTTGAGTGCCCTTCTTTAAGTAAGAGGCACTCGAACTAACATAACAGTACACAYCAGYAYWCTCAACWAGTACAAAGACTGAAATACCCCTTCACTAACACCACTAACAGTTCCCTTGCTCCTATCTTGGGAAACACCAAGATTTCTAATAACCTTAGTCTTTCTTTTGTCCTTCATATTCCTAACCTCAATACAAATTTTCTTTTAGTTAGTGCCATTACAAAAGATTTGAATTGCTTTGTAACCTTCTTTCCTCATCATTGTGTCTTTTAGAATCTCAAGTCTTAGAAGATGATTGGGTAGTGATTGTGAGGCGAATGGAATAAATATCTGCCCAATGTGCCTAAGAGTCTCACCCAACACCATCTGGTTGCTTATGAGTTTGTCCTATTTGAGCCAGTTGATCGTGTTATTTTATGTCATCGGTTAGGTTATTTGCCTTTTTAGTCTATGTGTCTTTTATTTCCAGAGTTGTTCATAGGTGTTAACTATTAAGTTGCCAAGTTTACAGTCTGAAAGTTTTGATTTGCTAAGCATTGTAGACATTTATTTTGTTCTAGTAAAACAAGAATGAATTTACCTTTTGAAATTGTGCATTCTGATGTAGGGGGACCTTATCGTGTTCCGTCTGTGGGAGGTTTTTGTTACTTTTTGCTGTTTGTGGATGATTATTCTCGTTATACTTGGATTTATCTTCTATGATCTTGTGGTGAAGTTCCAAAATAATATTCTATTTCCATCAAATGATTTGTACCCAGTTTGACATGAGCAAGGGAATGAACTATAAGCAATTAACTGGAGGGGGGGTGTTCCCAATGTATGGCGGGATGATTTCTCCCCCCATTTTGCTAGCACTATACATCCTCGTTCTTCTTCATACAAAACATCTAGAATCAAAAAGAGCTTCCACTTCTTCTTCCTCTTCTTCTTAAGGAGGTTTATACATCCTTGTGCTTGGGAGTTGTACACCACTTGTGTTCTGAATGCCTCGTGCATCTGGGTAGTGGAATGCGAATTCGCATCATGCCTCCATGTTTATATATAAACAGGTCAGCCTCCATGTTGACTTTTAAAACACTGTTTCAGGCATGACTTGATAGGTTCTGAAAATTAATAGCATAACTGCAAGCTGTACTACAAGGACGTCGATTTGCAAGGATATTTGCTTGTAGAAGGGAACTCAGATGAATGCCGACTAACTAAAAGGAGAAATGGAAGGGCTTGTCATTTATGACCAGTGTTTTAAAAGGTGTGGGAGGCGTATGCCTCCAGGCAAGGTGCCCCCAAAACACCCTGAGGTGTATGCCAGAGGCACTGATACCTCTGAGGCGTACACCTCATACACCTTTTTCATGAGGCGTGCTAGAAGCGTATGCCTCATGCACATTTCATATAAAAAGACAGAAAAAAAAAAGAAAAAAAGAGAGAAAAAAAGGAAGGAAAGGAAAGGAAAGGAAAAGAAAGGGAAGGGAAAGAAAAAAGAAAGAGAAGAAAAAAAGAGAAAAGAAAAAGAAAAAAGAAAAGGGAAGGGAAGAAAAGATAAGGGGAAGGAAAGTGGGCCCGGGGCAAAAAAAAAATGAGATCCTCCTTCCTCTTCTTCCTCCTCCCCTCCCTCCTTCCTCCTCATCCCCCTCCTCTTAAGGAGGCTTATGCCTCCTTGTGTTTGGGAGGCTTACACCTCTTATGTTCTGAATTACGCCTCATGTCTCTAGGTAGTGGAATGCCTTGCGCCAAGCCTCTGTGTTTTAAAACATTGTTTAAGACACCAGACTTTGGGAGCAAAGCATTTGGCTCTCACTATGGGATCAGTCTTTTCCTGTGTTCCCTAATTTGCAAATTTCCTTGTAGATATCATAGCTCAAGAGAAACACACAACACTGTTATGGGGTAGGTATCTATTAGTTTAAAGCAATCATGTTTTATCTGTTCTGTTTTTGGGCAGTAGGAGCTGTAGGGAACCCAGCAATGAACGGTTAAAGAATAGGATAAACTTGGGGCTTGGTGCTAGGATCTTGTGATGATGAGCCTTATCTTATAAACAGAAAATTTTAATTGAGAAAATTGTGAACTTGTAGACAAGACTATTTTCATACAAGAAAAGTAGATGAAAATCATCATATAAACAAGGACCATAAATTACTAGAGCCTGGATCTCCTGCAAGAAAAAGTTCTGCTCACATAGCATCCAGCTGCACATTGAGAATATCTCGCATTCATGTTTAATTCATGGGGGGATGTTCCCAATGCATAGTGGGATTCCCATGCTTTCATGATGTATGCAGAGTTTCTGCTTGCAGAGAATCCCGTCGCAAATTACTAAGATCTTGGAAAAAATTGCATTCATATAAATCCATCAAAACTATTGGAAATTTGGAAGCGGTCTTTAAAAACAAACATTTAAAAAAACACTAAATATATTATCAAATTAAAAACAAACATGCACAGAAAACTTGGAAGCGGTCTTTAAAATTTCACACCCCTTTTAAAATACTGGTAGTTTCTTAAAATGTTGGTTCTGCTGGGTTCTAATTTTGATGCATTAGTTGTTGACATTTTCTTATTTATCTCAACCCCCAGCCAAAAAAAAAAAAATCAAAATTTCCTTCTTATTTTTCTAATTGATTTTACCTTGTGAATTTCCAGATTATTGTCCTGGAAAGTGGGAAGGTAGTTGAACAGGGACCCCATGAAGTTCTCTTGTCAAATGCAGGAAGATACGCTCAGCTGTGGGGACAACAAAATAACACTTCTGATGGGAATTAATTAGACCATCAAAGTGGAGGCAAAATTAATTTTCCCTTTGATGTTGCAAAAAATTTTTTATTGGTCATGTTGTATGATAGTTTCCTAGGTTTTTAGCTCCCTATAAACATGGTAATTCTTTAATATTTTATAGGAGCTAAACTTGAGAAGAATTACACATTTTCATTTGTACAATTACTAAAACTCTCTCTCTCTCTCTCTAATTGTAAATCTTCCCATCTACTATTTACAATGTGCCATTACACTAAATAACTAGAACGATTGAATAGATTGTTCATTCTTGATATTTTGAATGAAATAGCTTTTACACCAAGAAAAATTTATTTAAATATGCCGAATCCTTAGCTAAAGATTTTATATTACTATAAATTCACTTGCAGGAAAAAAAAAACGGTGTAAATGTTAAGTCTTTGTGACAAGTCCAAAGACTTGTCAAATTAGGGTTTTCCTAATATGTAATGCTTTATGTAATGCTTTCTTAAATCATTTATTTTTTGCATTTTCCTAATTAGGGTTTTCCTAATTTTACAAGTACATATAATTTATTTTTTGCATTTTCCTAATATGTAATGCTTTCTTAAATCAAATTAGGGTTTTAGGATCTGCTACCAACAAGCCATTACAGGCTTACAGCCGCACATCAGGAACATCTCTTGTCATTCATGGGGAGATGTTTCCCTTGTGCAGCTTAGGGTCCTGTTGGGAGGCTTGTTGGCAGCGTTTGTTGGTAGCAGATCTAGTTGCATAAAAGTAATTTTTAATTTATTTTACTTGTTTTATTGGTTTCATTGAGGGGGAATGAGTTAGACTGGTTGAAGCTTTGAATGGGAGATTTTGTAAACAAACTTCAATGTATTGATACATATTTAGCCTAGTAAATTATAAGGAGAATTTATAATTTCATAAGGAACAATGAAAATTGTCTTAATTGGTTAATTTGTTTTACCAGTTTTTCTGAGGGACATAAGCAATAAGTTTGAACCAAATTTTGATTTTTTTTGGGTGGGGGGGTGGTATTGAAAATTTTTTATTTTATTTTATTTTATTTATTATAGCTAAAGTCAAGTGGAGAATTTTTAATTTTGGGCAAAGCCATCTATAAGGGAAATCACGGTCTACCCAACAAGAACATATAAACTTGTAAAGTAAATATTTTGTTAAAAGCAGGATTAGTGACTGTTTTGGTTGGAGTAATGTTCCTAATTCTTTACTAATCATTTCCTAAAGTACACTGTTGATGGTCTCAAGGTTGAACTATAGTTACCTATTTTATTGGTTTGCTTGGTTCCAGTATGGGTTTTAGGATTGTAATTTGCTATTTTTAATTTAACTTGTTTATTAGGGTAGTGATTGGTTCGTGGTTCAAAAAAAGGGTTGTGTTCCAAAATCATATCACCTCTTTTTCAAAATGAAGATATTGGTTTTGAATTATCATTATTTTGTCATGTATGGTTGTAGTAGTTTTTTATTTTTTATTTTTATTTTTATTATTATTTTTTTCTTTTGAAGGGCTGTACAACTGCATGGGGTGAGTCATCTCCCAATCCATAACCCCCCTCCTTCCCCCAATCCAGGTGTAGACGGGATTCGATCCCAAGTATCCGCTAAGATAAACAGGAGACCTTACCAACCTGCTGGTTGGCACACTGTTAGTTTTTCTGTGTGGCTCAAGTGTACAGAGGCAATTCATCTATCACCTTTCAACTTTGATCTTACGTCCATTCATTTGTCATACGTTAACAATAATATATAATACCTTAAATATATATAAAAATGCATATAATATGTTAAAAAGTATATATTATTAGATATTATGCCATGCGTATAAAATATATATAGTATTTTATAGAATGTAGGTATATGAATCAAGATTCAAAGAATCACCTACTACGTCAGCCTTCTTTTTGAAGCATCACTCTTGTGGTTGTGTTCAAACAGCTCTCTTCCATTGTGTTAAAAAGTGAGGAATTTTATTTTCAAAACATGAAAATGCTCTTTAAAATACTAGTATTTGTGAATCAGACCGAACACAAACATAAACATGAACCAAATACCCCTTAGGAATATGCTTTTTAGGAACTTGATTTCCTTTGATTTTTTTTTTTTTTTTCAATTAAAGAGTTCGCTTTCGATAGAAAAAGTTAAACATGTACGATATTAACATTTTTTATTCACGTTTATTCCTAATCCACTGCCATTCAATTTCGACAATCCAGAAAAAGAAGCTAAATGTACGATCACATTGGGTCGAGAATGAATATTTGAAAACTAAGTGGTGATGAAATGATCAACAATGTTGTAAGTTAAATGGGTATATATATAGCATGTTATTTTGGTGGTGTAAGTGGTGGCTAAAGGGGTCACAAAGTTCAAGTTTCTTTGTTGTCTTTTGAAAGTTTATGGTAATTTAAGTAATGCGACTTGCGAGATGGTCATTAAAAACTATCGTTTTATCTCAAAACCGTTATTTTGTCAAAAACTGTTGATTTGGTCAGTAAATCACTGATCCGGGCGGTTGAACCGTCCAACGGTTTTGGCCATTTTTTATTTTTTAATTTTTTGTCAGAATTGGCCTTCCATTCGGTTCGAACGGTTGGACCATTCAACCTGGGAACCGAACCCCTGACTGGTTCGGTTTTAAAAACCTTGTTAAAAACCGGTTGGGACAATGAAACCCGATAAGTTGTTTACCGTTTTCTTTTTCATCCTTTGATCAAATTGGCCAGTTAAATCGGTTGACTCATCACTTAACTAGTATTTTAGGTCCATTTCATCACCAAGTTGCTTGCCTACAAAAATCTGTTGATTTAGACAACAACATGCATGGTGACCTAGTCAATTGAACCATTTGATTTGGTCAATAGGGTCATAGGTTAAACATTAGTTTTCTTTTTCTTATTTTTTTTCATTTTCATCATTAATAAAAATAATTATTGTTTATGATATTAAAGATATGTCTAAACCTTTTATAATATTTCTTTATAATTCTATTGGATTTTAGAATTTTTTATTTAATTATGACATATTAGATTATATGGACGATTGAATCATAACTTGTTTTTCCTCTTTATTTTTTTTTTAGTTTTTGGATGCATCTTTTTCGTTGATACACTACCGATACACCCCCGATATGGGTCCGATATGCATAAAAAAGACAAAACACCCAATTTTCATGTATATACTATATCTATTTTTTAAAGATACAATACAATATGTTAAACCTTGATTGTAGGGTGTGAGGTAAAAGAAAGGATAGACTTGGGTTTAAAGGTTTTGGCCAATGAGAGAGCTTGGATTAGAATCTCGGTGTCATTAATGGTTAAATGTAGGAATTTAAGGCGAAACTTGGTGGATAGAGGGCTTGAGATATCTGAAATCTAATAATAGGGTCAGATTGGTTGGAAAGGTGTCATGGTGTCAATTTTGAAATTAAAGGATTCTAGACCAATGATAATGGTTGAAATGGAATCTTAGCTTGACGTAAGCATAAACTTGTTAGATGGGGATTCTAACATATTTTGGATTTAACGACAACATTTAGAGATTTGGTTTCCAAGGAGAGGGCTAGAGGGGGTTTTATGTAAACTTTAGGGAACCAACTGAGAATTGGCTCGTTGGTGTGTTAGCTGGTAACTGGTTTATTCTAGCTTTGTTGCGAAATCAAATCCCTCAACCTTCACTTTAGTAAAAAGGGGTTAAAGGGGAAGTTATTAATGATACATGAGATTGGGCTAGGGGTGGTCAGAGTTGGTTACCGACAGACAATAATAATAAGATTGAACTGAAAAGTTCTATGTCGTCGGGCCCAAATTAAAAAATACGAGTATTTTAATCCTGAAAAAAGTCAAAAAATTTGAGATAATGCAGTCCAGATAAGGATACGGACATAGATATAAATAGCCTTATTGAATATAGATGTACTATTGGATAGGTTGGATCAGATTTGGGTTTTCATGTCATTTCATCAACAGGTCAGGTTGGGTTCAATTGGAGCATCTTCGGCCAGGTTCGGATTGAGAGGCAAGCCCATATCAAATCCGACCCATTGACATCCTTATTCGGATATATTCTGATCAAAATGGTTGAATTTATGAATTTAAAGTTGTTTTAATTTTGAACTCAAATTTGAAGAAGACCCAAGGAACTAATTCTGCAACTCTCAAATTGCTGTTGTTTTAGGGCTGCAAACGAATCAAATCAAATCGGATCGATGTAAGGTCTATCCAAATTTTATTGGTTTATTTGAATCAAATTCGGATTGCAATCGGATAATGAATATATAGCATAATAAATTAAATTAAAAATGGTCAAAATATTATATATTATTGATAAAATGAACATTTTGAAGCCCTAAATCCATTGCACTAGAGCAACAAATAGTAGTGTCCTCACACAAAAGAAGATTGCAAATAAAATCAGGAGGGCTAGACCACGTAATACACAATTACATACTGACATTGCATGAGTTAGTGTATGCACAATTTTGGTATATGTACGTGAAATGTGGGAAATGGCACAAGAAGAAAAATAGAGAAAGAAGCCTTTTGCACTTCACAATTGGAATGTAAATTCACTACGGTGGTTTGGACAAAGCCACCAACACAAGGCCACAGATTTCCATGATGATGGGGTTCAAGCTAAGCGTTCGAACTAGAAAGAGACCTTTTCTCAATAAAGTAACTGCGTTAGTAAATAAATTATATTGAAATTAGCGTAAGAGCATGTGCTATGTTATAAGATGAAAAGATAAAAACTATGTATTGAAAATTAAGTGATTTAACTTTTATGACCTTTCACTATTACATACAAAAAGAAAGAGAAAAATACAATTTTAATATAATTTATTGAAAATAACAATATAATATGTCCCATATCAGGTGTTATCGTATTTTTTTGGGTTCTAAAACACTTATTTATAGATATTTTCAGAAATCCTTCTTTAACAAATCCTAGCTGTAGAGCAGCTCGGATGCCTGTCGCTAGGGGTGCAAACGGATCGAATTCCAATCGGATCAGGTAATATCCGAATTCGAATCCGATTAGAAAATTCGATATCTGAATTTGGTATCTGACGGATATTAAAAATTAATATCTAAATTCAAATCCGATTAAATATTTGAATATCCGATTCGATTCAATTAATTAATTATTTTAGATAATTAATAAATATACAAATAAATATTTTATTGATATAAAGTATATAAATATATAAATTATATAAAATATTTTATATATTGTATATAAGAGTTAAATAATTGGTCGAATTTGGATATTTATTGAATTG